ACGGCTGCATTTATTTGCGTATTCTCACTTGTTCGGATCTTCACTGCTCCATTCGTAGCTCCGTCTATCAAAACACATCCACACTATCTGCCGCTGGTTTCTATGCTCACGGATATCCTTCTTCGTGTTTCTTGTTGCTAATTCGTCACAAAGTTCCTCAATGGAGCCGACACGTATCTAATGCTTTTCGTGAATTCTCCGATTCGCAAGTGACGCGAGCTCTGAGTACAGTCTAACTTCTGCCCTTCGCAAATTGTCCACGTCGCCTTACTGAAGTGTCAATGTTGCGACATATCGCTGCTTACTGCACTACATTTATAGCCCTGGGCCTTTTAGTTCTCAATCAGCCACCGTTAATGAAGTAAAGTGGAGCCCAAGCGTACTGGTTGATCGTTGTCGTTACGTGTAGGATTGCTGAAATTGATGATCACACGTGTGTTATTAGGGCTTTTTGAGTTAATCGTGCGACAACGTTAGTAAATGTAACAGCTGGTTGCTTTGTTGTCGGAGATGCTCGCTAAATGCATTGCAGCAAAGCACGTACCGATTCGTAGCTCGGAGGGTTGTTCTTTACAACATACTCAATATCCACGCGGACGTATCCCGAAATTTATTATTACTGCTTCTTCTCTGATCGTATGTACATATATCATACTTTTTGGTGATTTCTGTCATGCTCACTAGGATTTACCAAATAAATCGTCGACTGTTACGCGGTTGAAAACCCACATTCGTGTGTATTTGGTTGAAGTGCTTCCGCTTTCTTGCTGCTTTTTGTTTGAATGTGAGGAATTGAGTCACGTCTTGTTTCTAACTGCTGACGGATCAACTGGTGCACAATTGCTTCAGAAGCCAAAAAATCTTTTTAAAAGCACTTCCAGATGGAGGTGCGGCGGCGAACGACCACGGCATCAGCAAATGGCACACTGACACAACCGTACTACGAGCTACTAGACGATAAAGCGCGGCGCACATCTGTACGTTTTGTGTTCTTTTTCATTAAGACTTCCAATTTTTTAGCAACCAGTTTTTTGGAATCAAAATTATGTTCTCGGTGGGAATGGGATTGATTAAGCAACATGAAAGCTATCGTATAGCAAATACCGCAAGCTTATGAGTTTCTCCTACGTCAGTTGGATATAAACTTTTTGCTCAACAACTTATTGACGCGCGTCCTGCCTGTAATTGGGATGTAGAGTGACCGAACGTCTATCACTCCTATCACTTTCTTCTTGGCAGTTGGGTTATATAAATTAATTCCCTAGTTTCGGAAACTTCAATGGTTTTCTTCCTATTTCAATTTTAACAGTTTACAGCTATTTTTATTTTTTTTCTTCATGAGGTGTTCAGGAGGCAATTGGATTCAAGCACTGGATTTTCGTAATCGCAGTGGTTGGCGTCATTTATGGAGGCGTTGTCTATCTTCACAGGTGAGTTGATTCCTACGAAGTATCTAGATGGGGCTTATGATTCAGGAGTAACATGAACGTTGGTGGTATTTCGCCTTGAGGCAAATCGTCTTTGGGTCATTTCTATATTCATACATATAGCGTGTTATTCGCTGATCCTATGCTGGGAACGCTGTAAATTTTCTCTGTTAAAATTGGTGTAGAGTAATGCGAGTTGTAACTAGCAAGCTAGAAGTTATTGTTGCCATAACGTTCCTAATGACTAGGTCAAGGGTATTTGTAGGCTCCTTTCAGCTGATTTTATGTTTTTGTGAAACCTTGTGAGCGATCTTATCATTGCATACACTATTGTGCAGTGTCCGAAAGTAATCGCTGTAAATCTTGATATTCTCTTAACCGTTTGAAGGCACTCCTAACCACCGAACTTGTTTGGTTCTTGCATACGAAAATAAAAGCAATGGTGCGACATCGATCGAAAATGATATAAAGAGGAAAAGAGTATCGAAAATACCAAAATTCAAGTGTGGCCACTGATATAGTTCGACGATAGTTTCTGAAACAACTAGGCAATCAGTGCAGTGGAAAGTGGATAGACGAGAGAGCTCAAAGGGTCGAGCGTCGCATACTTTCGCATATTGTGAATGAGAAAAGATGAAGCGGTCGTAGCGGACTTGGCAAGGCTATAGCGCCTATGTTTTCCGAGCCGGCGGGAACGGGACATCTGTAGATAGATTCTACCCACCGAAAAACGATTCTCCGATGCATCGTGCTGCCGGCAAGGTCCAGGGTCTAGTTTGCGTGGTAATCTCACTCTAATAAGCAGGTAGGAATGCGAAATGGATCACAGGCGGTAGAAAATTGAGGAAATCGAAAAAAAATCTGTGACTCATACCTCTGCGGAGGAGGAATATATGAGGCAGACAGCGAGATAAGAGATAGCGTAATTTGCGGAAGGGAAAAATCTTAAGGTCGAGGCAGCATAATAGATCAAAACTACGACTCAGGCAGCATATTGAACGGCGGGCGGGCACTGATCTTCCTGGGTGTAGGATGATCCAACTCTCTTGCGCCTAACGTCTTAAAGATGCGTTTCAAGTTGCAAGGGTGATGCACCACTGCAGTGGTGAACCTAGCTCTTCGATCCGCGAGAGAAAGTGTTTCAGTGAATCTGTTTCTGGACCCTGTATTCAATTGCATTTGGAAATTGCTGGATAGGAAAGCTTTTTTGTATCTGACCAGGAGGGAAAGGGTTGGGTGTCGTTCTCAGATGTCTTTGGGGCGATCACTGCGAGATCCCTATGGCCACTAATCAAAGAAAACACGGTTGTTTCCGGTGCAAAGTGTTCATTATGTTGCTGTTGCTACACATCTTCGTATGCTCTCCAAAATGGAATGGTACCTATGTTATCTTGAACTTTATAGTATTGCATGTTTCGTTTCCTTTATGGGCATTTTCAGACGGATGCCGCCGGTAGTTACAGGCGACCACCTGACTGAGTTTAGTGAGGAACGAGCTCGTGACCTGCTCAAGGAGCTCACTGCTTTGGGCCCGCGGCCAAGTGGATCCGATGCACTAGAGGTGAGCCTGACTTCTCCTTGCTCCTTACTTCTTTGGATTTTTCGAACATTCACCAAAATAATGCCAATGTAATTTAGCACAAAGCATTTGACATAATGCAAAGAAGTCTTAGCATTATTGAACGGCAAGTCGCATCTAAAGGTGTGAATCGATTCGAGATGGATGTTCAGGTATGTTTTAGCCTATCTAGTTTGTCCTCGTGCTTTCGAAGTGCAGTTATATTTCCACTTTAGCGTCCATCAGGCTGTTTCGATCTCAAATTTCTGTCGAGCTTCACTCTTTGTTACTACAAAATCACCAATATTGTGGTGCGTATTGGTCCAGCGAGTGGCCCAACGAATCAGGCTTTAATGCTCAATTGTCACTATGATACTATGCCGGATACACCTGGTGCCACTGACGATGCAGTAAGTGATTGTCTGTTGACCTACCCTTAATGAATACTTTCAAGTTGGGCTCACCCCGTTACACTAAGGAGATTTCCTGCCTGTATAAACGGGAGAACATATAACGAGGTTGAGTCATAAATAACAACCGCTTTCGATATCATTATTTAAAACTTTGTAACTTTTCTTCCATCCAAGGTTATTCAACGATTTAGTTACCGCAGCTACCCACAACTGTTCTGCATCTCGCATTCGCACATCGCATGCGAGCGGACACTCCCTCGCAACTGTGCAACCCCAGAATCTGCGTCTGTCTTAAGGTGTTCACCATCGTTGTGGCTCTCTTTCTTAAGAAATTGAGAAGTGGCGCGGACAGATAATAATCGGCTCCTACGAGAGCATATGAATGAGCGGGTGGAGGGTAACCAAAATCCAAGTTTCGGTAGACTTTTGAGTTTGGGTTTCAACATATGGTCAGAAGTTGTCATCCAGTGGAACGATTTAATCTGCTGGAAGCCACAACGTTGCGAGATCTGTAAAAGGTCTACACATCTGGAAGCAGTAGATGTCTAGCGGCAGTGTCACTTTCTGAGGTGTGGTAGAGCTCACTTTTCGATGGTCGCTTTGGCTAAGGAGCCGCGTACATCCAGTGCAGCTCTATATTTTGCTGACCCTGAAATGAGTGCAGATACTCTCAACTGTGCTCTCCTTACATCAAGGAATAAATCTTGTCAGGACGTCTGAAACATTGATTTCTGGAGAGCAAGAATTACTTTCTATTCACTCTTATCTGCACTCATCTCGTGGTGGAATGTGTTATGACAGCCGTGCACTATTTCTAGGCTGCTGTAGCTCGGAAGGCTTGAGCTACAGCAGTCTTCGAGTCTACGGCTGCTGGTCACAGGTGGCTGCAAGAAGCAACTGGAATTTTATTTACCCTGCTCGGCCTCCGAGCTGTTTTTGTACTTTCGGGATTTCGGGGACCACTCTCAACGTGCCAATTTCTTCATTGTTTCTGGTCCTTCAACGCTACACATATTTTCACAGGCACCTCTCGTCAAGCTTCTCAAAAGAGGATGGGAAAGTCAACAGTTTTGAGCATGCTTCAAAACGGACGGCTTCAGGGCTCGTTAGTGGTTCCGTTCCGTAATATTGTATTAAGTACTCGTGCGGTCCCTACATGGCATATTGGCGAGAACACTATAAACGTTTTCTGAAGAGAATGGCAAATGTTGAGGAAAGCGACATTGCTTGTGAATCAACCTAGTAAATATGCGTTTTTTATGGATGCGGAAAAGTTGTACGTATTATTCATAACATCTGTTTTTACTCAGAGAGGCAAGGTGCAGTCGTATGCTCAATACCGGGGAGTACCACAATTTTTTTACGTGAAAACTACTCCCTCGTGTTTCAAATGGGGAGATTTTGTGGAATCATTGCAAGTGATTTTGTCCCGAAGGATGACTTGGACGTGCGTGGCACAAGGCACGGTTTTACACACACTTAAGCCTTTTTGTGTCAAAGCCAAGTGTGATATGGTGTGGTCAGACTCAAAATCTCACGCAATATTGTTCTATCAGAATTGCGTCTTTTATCGCGTGACCGATACATTGACTACTCAACGGATATCCCACCACTCCTGGCTGCCTCATAATGTGAGCCGAAAAACCTGTAAATCCTCCATGAGATGGGTAAGCACACAAAAAAAAAGCAGATTTGGAATGACGTGAACAATTAGGAGGCTTAGGTCGTAATTCTTCTTGCCAGTTCGACCTACCGCCCTTCTCTTATGAAGTGATTCAAAAGAATATCAGCTTGATGTGATATTCGTTTTGCGTTAGCTCCCATTGATGTCGTCGTCATGCTTGCTCTACACAAGGGGAAAGCTTTCCAAAGCATTACAACTATTTTACTTTATGTTATCTGAAGTGCCTAATGCTAAAATTGTTCAGTAAATGAATTCGCTTGATTATCCAATTTAGAAAGAGCTCATGCCTTGTTTGCACTCCTTGTTACCTTTCAGGTCTCCTGTACTATAATGATGGACGTTCTGAACGTTCTCTCGACATCTGAAGAGCCACTTCAAAACGACGTCGTTTTCCTTTTCAATGGCGGTAATGATTTCCTCTTATTTAGAGAATTTTGTTCTGTTTTATCGGTAAACCTCATTGGTTCAGCCGAGGAGAATTTTCTACAAGGCGCTCATGGGTTCATCGAGAATCATCCATGGCGTCACACTATTCGTGCATTCATCAATCTTGAGGGTACCGGATCAGGTGGACGGGAAATCCTGTTTCAGGTCAGCATTTTTATTTTTAGGAACCTTTTCTTTTTTAGGAGTTTTTGTAGGAATATAGCAAGGAGTAAATTTCAGGCGGGTCCAGGAAACTCATGGCTGCTACAAACTTACCTCGAGACTGCTCCGCACCCATTTTGCAGTGTTTTAGCGCAGGAGATTTTCCAATCTGGAATAATCCCATCGGATACCGATTTCCGTATTTTCCGTGATCATGGACGTATATCAGGTTTGCGCGTTTGCTTTTCTTTTTTACTTGACGTAGCGCACACATTTCCTTGTTAAGGACTGGATATTGCTTACACAAAGAACGGCTGGGTCTATCATACCGAATTCGATGAAGAGTGGAGAATTGAAGCTGGTGCAATTCAGAGGTAATACCATTGTTAAAGTATTCAAAAGAGCATAGTGCAATAATGAAACTGTACTGAATAAGTTGCTTTTATGATGAACTGCGCAGATCGCGGTGTCTTGACACTTCAAAGGCAAAGTCCGGGATCGAGCTGGTGTGTAATTGTGACAGTAAAGAGGCAATCTAGATTTGAAGTGTTACGTAGGCAATGGATGAACGGGAGGGGACAGTCTAGGCCCAAAATAAAACTCTTTCTCCAGTAGCAGCAAGGCAAAATAGCCAGATTTCTGAGTGGGCTCCACGTTGTTGGGCGGAGCCAATGCTGCATCCCATCTTCAAAGCGCCTCGGCCTTGTCAAACCATCCGAAAGTTGTATACTTGCTTTCCGCTTGCGCTCCCCCTTTTCGAGGAAAAGCTTAATTTCGACTCGAAATCTCGGCCCTTGCCTTCGATTTCAAACCTCAAATTCTTTTCGGAGATGTAGTTTTTGAAACTTCTCATGACTAGATAAAGCTAAAGCTTTCTCACGTTTCAATATTTTTTGTAAGGCTTGCAGGCTAATTCACTTATTTACACATATGATATGCTTAATAAGTCAAATGCTTGCATTTCACAGTTTTGAGCCGTAATAACTTTCTGAGGGCCACCGAGAGCTTCTTGTTTTTAAAGCGAGAGATTACGATAGGATTCTGTTGTGCTCATAGTGGAAGTGAAGATGCTGAATAATGCCCTAGTAGCGAAAAAAGCAAAGAAATCCGTCAAAAACGCGCAAAATGGGACCACTTCCTCTGCCCGTTGACCTCCGATAATGGACGAGTTGGCAACCAACTAAGAGGTCGTCGGCACTCGTTAAACCATAGCTGCCATCATACCACCAGAGATCATACCTTGATTGATATAGCATTCCATGAGAAAAAAATTGGATACGCGCTCGAAGTGGCATACCTTATCAGAATGATAATCGAACAGCGATCTGCTGAGGGGCGGAGCACAGGCGGAGGCGGAGCTCAGAAAGGATTGGCAGCCCCAGGGCGCTGCAACGAGCGCACCTTTAGTCACAAAAAGGCCACATCTCGATTCCTTTGGGCTCTAGCTACTGCTTGAAGTGCTGCTCGTTCTTCCATGCTGCACAGAAATTTTATCGTAATTTCTCGCTTTAAATGAAGTCAGTAATATGAGCATCCCTGCCAAATAACGGGAGCCGTCACCCATGGAGTCATTTCAATTCGTACTATCGGGTAACGCTTATTTCGGCTATTTTGCTCGAACTAAGTGCGTTTCATTGGTATACGTCCACCCCTGATTTTACCGAAAACGTTTCTTGAAGGACTGGCCCAATTTAGCAGCATACATTATCGGATTCGTTGTCCAGGAAAACTACGGAACACATGTTTTTCAGACAGGCAAGTCTATGGCGAAATTTTTTAGAAGCATTTTTTCGTTTTTTGACCGTTTCATAGTATACGTCCACTTTGAATTTCTGTTTATTTATGCAAAGTCAGAAAGTGCTCAATGAAAATAAGTTGTCAATTGGTGCTCTCTGTTCGAATGGCAGCTCTATGAGTCAATGTGACATACTCACTGTTGAACTGCCGAGGATTGAAGGGCCGATGCTGCAGCACCCGTCCATGATCGCCTTTTCATTGTGTAGAAGTTGGAAAACCGCCTTTTGTTGTCGTGAACCTGTTGCACAATTACACCCCAAAGTTTTCTATGGAGTTCAGATCAGGACTGCGTGCAGGCCGCTCCATAACGACCACTTTCTGTCGTTAGAACCACGCAGACGTTGACCTGTAAGCATGGACACTTGCACTGTCCTGCTAGAAAACTAGCTTTTATCGCCGCCTGCAGTTCAGGAACAGCGATAAGTTTGATCCCAAAGCTCTTGTCAGTCCATTCGGTAAAAAACAAATGCGAGCTCCAGCTTCCTGTCCCACAGAAACCCCTCAAACTATCAGCGAACCGATACCAAACCTGCGCTTGCTGATCTGCACTGGGTCTTTCTTCAGATCACCCCAGTTACGTCTGACATTACCGTGTGCGCCCGGGTTATGATTCTTTTCGTCTGAGAAGACTATTCAAAGAATTTGAAAAAGACTCTACAGTGTGCAGAAACTGCGCCCAGTTTTACAGCTGCACCTGGTTCCAATCCGTTGCCGCGTCCTTTCGAGTAAAACCAAGACGAGCCAACTCGAGTGCTCCGGTTAGATGTGGGTCTTGCTCATAAATTCTCTCACAATGTCACCGCTCCATTTGATAGCCCTCACTACGGTGGATTTCGAGACAAACACCTACAAATCTGCACGGATTTGGTTGATGCTGCATGTGTTGCTGGAAACTTTCCTCCAAATTTCTCGTTAATCTCTGACGGATAGCTTGCGTTGGCGTCTAGGAGTTTCGCCGTCGAGGTAGCCTTCAGAATCTCTGAGATGAAAGCAAAGCAAGCAGTGAATCCTGTCGATTTGTCTGGTGGTTTGCCGATGCCTGAGTCCCGCCATCATGGAGAGCCCGAAATCGAGTCTTTCCTCTACAGAAAGACGGAGACCACGGGCATCGCGAGAAGACTAGTCGGTTCTACATCTGGTACAAACACGCACTTCGGTTGGATCAGGAAAATTTATTTCGAGAAGTATACTAAGAGTGGACGTATATTATGAAACGGTCGAAAATCGAAGAAGTACTTCTAAAAAATTTCCCCGTAATCTTACTTCTTTGAGAACGTGCTTTTCGTAGTTTTCTAACACAGTGAATCCGATAATGTATGCTGCTAAATTGGGCAAAGTCTTCAAGAAACGTTTTTGGTAAAATCAGGGGTGGACGTATACCAATGAAACGCACTGTATAACGATTGGCTAGATATTTAACGTATTCCACTCGCGACCCGGAGCGAGAACGCCCCCCCTGCATGCCGACCCATTGTGTGCCGATTTTGTGTTGTGGTTGGCTAATTTTGTTTGTGTTTTTGGGTTTTTTTTTTTTTTGTTTTGTTTTTTGCACGGTTCGTTTTGGAGAGCGCGTTAATAGTCAGCGGGAAGTGCTTACAATGAGCTGAGCTGGAACCAAGGTCAACCGTGACCTTCACATTTTTTCAAAAAATTTGCGACCCCTCATCACCATCACCTGCCTTAGGAAATTCCCCCGACTTCTTCCCCACACTCCCTGATTCCATGCCTTTCCACCATTATGGCCTGTTTCAATTAGAATTGACTATTCAGAACCGGTCGACATATTGCCAAACCTCGCGTCATTTTTTCTCCCCAAAACGGCTGTTAAATGGGGTAGCGCGGGACGGAGAGAGATAAATCCGGTTTTATTTGGGTTCCCCCCCCCAAACAAAACAAAAATCAAAAAAGCGAGCAGTGCCTCATTTTCGCTGCCTGATTCTGCAAACTGCCACCCCTTCCATGGAAAACCTTTCACCAAATTTTGTCAAAAAGAAAAACCATGTCCAGAATTTCAAAACCCAAGCCCTCTTCAAACGACAGTCGTCAGCACTCCCGTTCCATCTTTTATAACCCTTCCCTCTAATCCCCAACATCGCGAACCCGCCTCCCTTCGAAATCTATGAACGTGCGGACTCCTGCGTCCGAAATAGTGGCCGAAGTGGACGGTTGACAACCCTGGATCAAGGCTTGGAAATCGGGCTGGAGGCAAATGGCAACACAGCTCGGTCGAGGATTTCTTTCACGCCTCTCCCGCGGTCCCACTCCCGGGAACTGTAAAATCCTATGGCAGGGTGTAATCAACGGGTCGACAGTAACGGATCCTCGCCGTTGTTCCACCCTGGCTGGAGCCAGTCCCCATTCTTGTTTGAGAGGTGACCAAGGTCCCAAAAGTGAGCAGCTGTTTCCTGTGAGAAAAAAGTGGTCGCGGATGACAGGATCCATGTTCTTAAGTAGTCGATGCTTGCTGAAGCGCCCCCTGTGTCTCCTTTAGTGTCAACGGATTCGCGAAAAGCAAGAAAGAAAAGTCGTGCAAGTGAATGAACAGGTGTTGAGACGAAAATGTCGTGAGTTGAGTGGCATGAAGTTGTAATAGTTAAACGCAGTTTTTTGCTAGTTTTCTGGAGAAGTGTACTTTGCTCTCGTGTCAGTGTACAGGGTAAACCGTCGCATGGTCAAAGCTCGCCATCCATTTTTTCCTCCAGATCTGCTGGTTAGTTGGAGCCAAATTGTCAAGCAAAATCATAATTCTTGGCCGAATAGCGGTTCCAGCTGGTCATTGTGCGGTTCCGATTGAGCTAACCCATCATCAAATTGCTATTTGATGTGTTGCATCGCTGAGGAATTGATTACTTCCTGTAGCACTTCTTTCGCGAATCGCAATATTATTCAGTGTAGAATTCCTTTGTGTGAATAAGGCCAGCTGCACTCTGCGCGCATTTGCAGCTGGCTACACTCTATGATGGAAAAACACGAGAAATTCACGCTTTTGGTGGGTAGACTTGCCCTGTAACCTCCTTAAAATGTTGATTCGTGATGTGTATCTTTCGGCTCGTTCGGCGAATAAAAATAGATGCTACTAGTAGGTATATGTTAGTTAGTAGTATATGCGCGTGTAGAAGGCGCGTAGTGCCCATACATGTCCTATTCTTTCATATGCTGTTCTGTTTCAGGGCTGGTGAAAATGTCCTGGCTGTTGTGCGAGCCATACTGAAGAGTCCCTACCTGGTCCAGGCAGCATCATTTGACGAGGCAAATAAATGGGTGTTTTACGACGTAGTCGGCCTTTTCACAGTTTACTATACAGTTACCGTAGGTGAGTATCAGTAGAGCTTTCTAAAAGCCATAACATAATTGCCGGAGTGCCTCATAGTTAAGAATTCGTACATGCTACATACATATACTTTTTACTGCAGGCCAGATTCTTAATTATGGTGCTTGTGTTCTGGTTGCTGCGTTGGTTGTATTCCGGATTCAAAGAGGAGCTTACACACTTAGCGATCTCGGTCTAGCTTTCTGGCATCATATTTGTGCGTTTCTTGCCATGGTCTCTGTTATGGTAGTGGTGGTGGTGCTTGTGCTCAAGTTCGACCTTATTATGTGCTGGTAAGTTGTCTACGGCAGTATTCGCCCGGAGTTGAATGCATGACCGTGACTTGGCTCTTTTTCTTAGGTACAAACTTCCTGAGATAGTTGCTCCACTGTACGTACTACCTATGCTGATTGCTGGATGCACTGTACATACCTACTTCGCCGATAAGACCAAGGTGCGCTATTTGAGCAGCTTCCGGCTATATTCAAGTACATAGATTACCACTCTACGAGTCCAGTTATTCTCGAAGTTTTTCTGTTCGTAGGTTCTCAACAGTGAAATGGTACAGTATGACAGCATAGTGATCAGCTACGCTGCAGTTCTTTTTGCACTGACTTCGTACAACGTTGCATCCGCGTTCTTCGTTTTCAATTACGTGATGTTCCCACTTCTCAAGGATCCACTGATTTTTGTGCTGGGCTCTATTGGAGTAATCAAACGTGAGTTTTCTTGCTGCCAGTTAAGTTATTGAGCTTGAAGCTTGCTCTTTTTTGTTGCCCTATGTGGATCTCAAACTATCCTACAGAATACTTGGTAGGGGGTATGTTCGTGTTGTTATGAGGAGCTTGAGGTGGGTATGAAGTAGACATCAAAATTAGCTTCCAGGGGATGGGCATGATTTGAATGAAAGAGTATTTATAAAGGGAAAGCCTTTTCCTAGAAAATTGTCTTAGATTCGGAACTGGCGCACCGCTAACCGGTGCGCGTGGCATCTTTTTTGAATTAGGGAAAGCTTTCTCGATGTTCACAAACTGAACCCGAAAACCTGCTTTCTCCACAATTTTGGACGTTTCCTCTGTTCAAGGTTAACAAGCTCAGAATCCTTTCGGACGGATGCCTTGTAAGGGAAGGTATTCTCATGTATTTTATAAATCTAACCTAATTTTTCACATAATTCTTTATTACAGTTTTAATGTTCATTATAACGGTTATGAGTAAAGTCTGGATCCGAGTTTTTTTTTCGAGTATGCAGTTTTCAGGCGTAACACCAAGAGTGCTGCTCTACACTCAGCTCGTCTGTTTCACTCCAGTTTTTGTCTTTGCCACATACGCAATTAGTCAGTGCGTTGATTTTTTCGTGCCAGTAATGGGACGACTGGGGAACGCGGTGAATCCGGAGTTCATTATGGCGCCGATTGGATTGGCTATTGCATCTAGCTTTGTGTTGTTTGTGGTGAGTTATTGAATCAAATTATCGGAGTGGTAAAAAAGAGAAGAATTCAGTGAAATATTTTCCTAACCATCAGACATGAGCATGGCTTCCGTTGACAAAAACTGCTCGCTTTACGGTGTGATCAGATCGCTTCCCATCGTCCTCCACCAAGTGCTTCTTCAAACTGCCTTGCCTCGCGCTATCGCTATCACTGCTTCAAACTGCTGGTGTTGACTTCTGAATAATCCTTCTAAGCCTGGAATACCAAAATGTGCTAATAAACCTCCCTTTTATTTATCTTTGAGACTTTAGAAGAGTCTCCTTTTGGGTCAAGACTTGTTGAGCGACGTCGTGATCCAAGAAACGAAAACACAAATCGAATCGCCCTAACAAAATTACCAGATTTTTCTTAAGTGAGGTTGTTTAAACCTCCTATATACGAGTCACTTATCTTTGCAAAATAAGGGCTACACATTGCAATCAAACATATGTGTTTACCTGAGATGGTTATGAACTATTTTCAGAA